GATCATGTCGGGAAGGTGAGCATCATGGAATACCAGTTTAATAGAACAAAGTATTCTTGCATTGAGGGAATACATGAGTGGAGGCCCATTGTCTATCTGCCACCTTAATACTAAACCTATAAATATATGTACATAGATTTCCCCATTGTCATATATAAATATATTTACATATGTACTTAAGTGTATTTCAACTTCTATAAATGCCCTTTGTCTACTGGTTCCGTCCTCTATTTCCTTTTACTTTCCTCTTGTCCCACTATTACTATGTTCAGCCTTCATTTGGGTTTCAGTAAATCCTCTTGGTTTCATTGCCCTTGAACAAGCCCTACCAGGCCTCCTACACCCTCCTCACCCTCTATTTTAGGTCACTTGTTGTTCTCTTGTCCCTGGGGTTGTTGACACCCACTTCCTTTCCCCCACGTCCCTTTCCCATGTCCCCCCAGAACCGTCGATCCCGTTGTTTTCTCCTCCAGCTTGTTTATCCCACCTATTTTATCTAGATAGACCTGCAGAGATAATAAGAAGCGCAAAAAACAAGACAGAGCAAAACAAAACAAAACAACAACAAAACCAATGACAAAAAAGAGAAAAGCCTGTAAATAGTTAAAGGTCTGTATGTTGACCTTTAGGAGTGCTTTCTGGTTGAGTCTGATGGGGTGCCACACCCTACCCCCAAAAATCTATTTTTGGTATTCCCTGGGCACTACGTTGCTCTGTTCCCCTTTCTGTTCTGTTATACACCCTTAGTGTTTCGCTTCAGTGTGGTGGGGTCAGATTGGGCACAATTCCAGCACGGTGTCTCCAGAGTTGTCCCCCATAGTGCTGTGGGCCATTGAGGGAGGTCAAGTCTTGTATGGGGTCGGTCCTATGATCCTCTCTGTGCTTTGGCTGCTCTGAGTGGGAATAGCATCCTCAGGGCCTGGTGGGCCAAGATGTGTTCCACTCTCTCTTCCTCGCCCTTCATTTGTTCCTGTGTGCTCTGATCAGACATGTCCCTCTCCCTGAGTTGTAGCTTCAGTGCTGTCCTCTGAAGTGAATTCTTCTGCGGGGAGGGGGACCTGTCCACATAGTTGGGATTGGGGCCGGACCCTCAGACCTCTCTATTGGTTCCCTGCTTCATGCCAGTATGTTGCATTCACATCTTGGAGCACCGGGTTGAAGTCTGGTCCCTCTTTTTTACTGTGTACAATATGATACCTTACCATCAATAGCAGAGGATGTGTTGTTCTTGCAGTAAAGCTGGTCAAATCCCCTTGCCTTTTCCTTGTGGGAATGCCTAGCATTAATTACGTTCATTGAATATTTGTTTTGTTGTGCATTCCAATGTTGTGAGAATAGAGTATTGCACCCTGACTACTTGTCCATTGTACTGTGCATTCAGAAGCAGATACATCTTATTTAATCATGAGATCTACAGACATTCCACTTAACCAATAAGCACAGCTCTGTTTAAAAGAAAAATAATAATAGTTAAAATAAGTTCTGGTTACTACAAAATAAAATCTTAAGTTTTTTCTTATAATAAAATGCATTTTTAGGCTTTCCTTATGACATTCAAATTCTTGCTCAATGGGGCCCAATTTGCTTTTGAGCTTCCTTTTCTGACTCCCTGCCCTGGGAACTTCAGGCTTTAGCGTCAATCAGATGCTGATATAGATTTGTAGAGATTATTTAGCCAAACTCCATAATGGTACGAGTCAATTCTATGTTACAAATACACACACACACACACACACACACACACACATACACAGAGTTCCTATAGATTCTGCTTCTATGATTGACCCTGTTTCAGATAAGCATTGATCTCAATATGGAACAAAAAGAAATAAGTGTTAACATGGAAATTGAAATAAGTTTCCCCATGAAATAATTTTTAAAGTTTATTTAAAATATATGGAGAGCAGACTATTCAGTATTTTGAAAGCCACAGGAGAAAGGACTTTATTTATTTTTAAGGAGTAAGGACTTTAAATGTCAACAATTTCTTATGCATGATACAACTCTATAAGCTGATATGATCTGTTAATTTGATAATTATAAAATCACTTTGGACTTTAATTTTAAAATTCTAGCAGATGAGTGTTAAAAAAAAAGAAGATTGTAGTATACTTGAAGAAAGTGGTATTTGCAAATGTGAACACTTCTTTTAAGAAAATGACTTAATTTAAATAATAATTGACAAGAGTCCAAGAGATTCTTTGAAGAAGGAAAAAAAGAATAGGAGGCAGGAAGATATGTAGAGACTAAATAGGAAAGAAATCACATAAAGAAACCAAAGTATGAGAAAACTGTGTGAGCTGGATAGAGCAGTACACCAGAAGCATAAGATTAAATCTTAAAATACTGACTGGTTCCAAAACATGCTCACACAAACACACACACACACACATTATGTTTGAGCACATTATTGTAGCCACTGTGTCTTTCATATCATTGCAGGTTTTCCCTCTTTTTCACTGAACTCTACTTTCTTTATCAAGCATGCTGGCCATTTCCAGGACCGGTGCCTCCTGAAAGCATGCCCACAGTACATCAGAAGTCTCATCACCTTCACATCCCAGTCCTAGCTATTTAATATGGTGGCACGTCCTCCAGCAGTCCACTGTTCTCTCAATACCTTTCACCATAAAACAAGCGCATTAACCCTTTGCTTATTTTGCTTATTCTTTGTCTGGTGTTCACATGCATATGAGGGGATTAAAGACACCACAGATTCGTTCCGGTACATTTTAATCCTTAAAGTTACATCTTTGCTCTTTACAGTTTCCAAAAATCCTATGCAGCACATTTTGACTTTTTGACATCTTTTTATTTTTCTCTCTTTTTTCCCAACAGTTTTATTGGGCCATAATTTACATATCATACAATTCAATAGTTCAATTGTTCAATTATATTAAGGAGAATTGTACAATCATTACCACATCAATTTTAGAGCATCAGTATCAACACCATCACCACCAGTTTTTAAATCGCTTTTAAAATGAGCTCTGGGCAGAAAATCCTAGCTCCTATGCATACCAAATTTGTTCTTTCCTTCTGGACCTGAGACCATAGCCACTACATGCTGCACCAGATTCTTGGTCAGGACAAGAAGTATCTGAGTTTTATCCCTCTCTTCGTGTTTATTAGAGGTGGAGGCACTGGGGCATCACTGTATGTCATACGTCTGGTGTTATTTAATCCAGATATCAGTTGGGACAAAAAGAACAACCCAGAACCGTGGAATGGGAATTGGGACCTGGGGCCCAATGAACAATATAAGTTCTTCACAGTTAATACGGATTACAGCAAACTGAAGAAAGAAGGCCCTGCCTTCTAAATGAAGTGTTTTCCCATAAAGCTGCTTAGAAGAAAAGTCTTCCAGAAGTAATCTGTATAATTTTCCATGTGTGGTAGTTATATAATCTGTTGTCAATTTGAGAGGATTAAGAGTGAAGGTGTGGAGTGCAGCCTGTCAGTCAGTTAGTAACTTGATGACTTCATTTGGAGACGCTAAGGAGATAAGTAGCTCGCTGAAGGCAGGACGCAGGTTTGCTCCCTGGGAGACATTGCAGCTGACAAAACACATGGAGCTACACTAATGCCCTGAGCTGGAGAAGCCAAATGGAGACTCCTGCTAGCACTGACATCACCACTAGATCCACAAGACTCCCTACCCACTGGCCTGTGATCTTCCTGCATTCGGCATCATTGCACATATTTTGTGAGTCTGAAGAGAACTTTATAAATTGGTATCAGATATATGGGCTAATATCAGACCTATGGACTTGATCTGGACTGGACTGGGATGCTTTCTTAATGTACAGTTACTCTTTATATAAAACTCTTTCTTATACACATATAAGTCTCCCTGGATTTGTTTCTCTAGTCTACCTGGACTAAGAAACCATGTAGCCAGAATACCATTGCCTCTAAAATGCACAAAATTATGTTGGTGTGTTCTGTTGGAGTTTACACTGAATAATACATCTGAAACTTGAAATAAATAAATAATAAAATAAGTTGTGCAGTCACAATCTGTTCTAGTGCTCCCTCCCACCTCCCACCTTCAGTATTTACTCCCCAAATCCCCTTTCCTTCCCTTTCATAAGCACTGCTTGGGGCTCAAAATAAAACAAAACATGACAATTTCCATTTTTTCTTCATCTATCATCATGTTATTTATTGGTCCAATTGTAGGAATTTTTCTTTTTATTTGCACAAAGTTGGAACCCATATTAAATTCAGTTGTTTTCTATCATCATCAGTAGGTAAAAAATAATTTTCTTTTTCCTAAGAAAGCAAAGTCTCTCATATGCAAACCAAAGTTGGTTAATGACCCATCCTCTAATCCTGATGCCATGTTCTTAATATAGTCCAGTTTCTTTGAAAAATTGTTCAGCAAACTGATTGAACTAATATAGTAAAAGATTCACCTCTGGGCATGCTTTAACACACACCTTTCCTAATTCTAAGCCACTTAGTATTCCTTGTTCTTCTCAGAAGACTGACTCTTGATTTTTGTACATATTCTATAAGAGCACAATTATGCTTTCAGGAATTCTCATTCATCACACTGATAACAGTACTTTGTGATGATCCACACATGGATTTTTTTATATTGATTTTACATTGCCAGTAAAACACAAGTGAACATCTTTCTGATATTCTCTGTTTTCAGCAAAGAGACATCTAGTGCCTCTTTGGCAGCTGCCTTGAATTTCTGCTGGCTCCCTATCAGAAAATTGTTGGAACGTCTTTGGAAGAATCTTCAGCAAAATTTTGTTTGCATGCGATATTAATGATATTTTTCAATAAATTACATTGATATTCTATCAGTTCCTATAGCCTTGTTTTTCACTAATGCTTAAAGTTCAGCTTGCATTTTCCTATTTTTTTCTTTTTTTTTCTCTTTTTGAGAGAGTGAGTGAGTGAGAGTGAGTGAGGGAGTGAGTGAGAGAGTAAGTGAGAGAGTGAATGAGTGAGAGTGAGTCAGTGAGTAAGTGAGTGAGTGAGTGTGAGTGAGTGAGTGAGGGAGTGATGGAGAGTGAGTGAGTGAGAGTGAGTGAGTGAGTGAGAGTGAGTCAGTGAGTGAGTAAGTGAGAGTGAGTGAGGGAGTGAGTAAGAGTGAGAGAGTAAGTAAGTGAGTGTGAGTGTGAGAGAGTGAGTGAGTCAGTCAGTGAGTCAGTGAGTGAGAGAGAGTGAGTGAGAGAGTCTTGCATTTTCCTTTGAGTGCCATTTCTTCTTCATCATATATTACCTCTTAAAATGATTCAATGTTGACTAATTATTTTTGGTACAGTGGCTCTGTATATTCAACATCCTCCCAATACTTGCATCATTCAATATTATGCCCATAGAAGTCTTAAATATTATAACTCAAAGCTTGAATTTTATTTTCTTTGGTTCTTTCAGTTTGAGATATACTGAGCATATTCTTCTCTTTTGGTTTTCTAAGTCCCAGTCTTTGAATATTTCATTATAAAATTTTAGTTTGTATTTTCAAGCTCCCTTTTGAAAATTTTTGTTCAGACCTTGTACCTCATCATCTTTCCATTTGTTTTATGTAATCTATGACCCAGAGCCAGTTTTAGGGTTTCCTCTGATATACACTTTAGTCTCTGTTTTCTTTCCCTGATTTTTAAAACAACTTTGTTCTCTTCATACCGGTTGTTGATGTTATCCCACAACTGGCCAGGACTTCTGTTATTAGAACTTGCCTAGGAGCAATTGATAGTACATTCAACAGTCAGCTCAAGACATTGTTTGGGCTGAGTATATTGAACTCCAATTCTCTTCCTACAAACATAGTCAACTTAACCTCATTTGACTTGGTCAACATGTACCATCACCATATATGTTGCTGTGGAAGGTATTTGCTATAAAGATGGTGGTCTTACAAAACTTAATTATGCAGCCCACCAGTTTCTCTTCCTATCACCAAGACCATTTTTTTCCAAACTGTGATCATTCTTTTATGTTTCCAACTTTCATATTCTAATCACCAGTAATGATCAGTACATCTTGAGTGTATATTTGATCAAGTTGAGGCAGAAAACAATGGTACATTTCTTCAATTTCTTTAATAACTGCTTTAGTGTGGTGTGTAGATATACATAGTTATATTAATTGGTCCTTTTAGACATATAGATTTTATCCTATCATAGATAGTATTGTACTTCAAGATAAATCTTGAAATATTATTTTTGATGAAAAATGTGACACTATTCCACTTGAATTTGCCATTCTAAGCCTAGTAAAAAATATAATTGTCCAATTCAAAATGGCCATGACCAGGTCACTTTAGCTCACTAAGCTTCATATCGACCAGCGACTAGTTTCCAGCATTCACAGCAACACACAAGTCATCACAGCATGACTAGCTGACAGACACGTGGTAGATGTCACCTCACTGGGTGCGCCATCAATGCTCCTGGAGGCAGCAGTAGGAGAGCAAACAGCGCATTGCATGAGGTAAATCTGCTGTACAAAACCTATTTAGAGTTACTCAAAAGCAAGAGCGTTGCTTTGAGGACTAAGATGTGCCTGACCCAAACCATAGTATTTTCAATGGCCTCATATACAAGTGAAAGTTAGACATTGAATAAGGAAGGCCAGAGAGAAATCGATGTGTGTGAACTATGTGCTGACAAAGACTACTGAAAATGCCATGGACTGTCTTGGAATAAGTATGGCCAGAGTGTCCCTTAGAGGCAAGTATGGTGAGACTTCATCATATATACTTCGGACATATTGTCAGGAGTGACCAGTCCTGGAGAAGAACACCACCCTTGGTAAAGTGGAGAAGCCGTGATAAAGAGGAAGACCTTTAGCAGTGTCAGTGGACACCGTGACTGAACCCATGGGACCAAACATAAGAACGGTTTTGAGGGATGCACCGCAGGACTGTGCAGGGCTTCGTTCTGTTGCACACAGGGTCGCTACGAGTCAGAAACGACCCAACAGCACCTCACAACAACAGCAAAGCCCCAAACACCAATTTTTATGTGTTTCATTTCATTTTTAATGATCCAAGTTTTGGAGATTCTAATTTTGTGTATTCCACATTTAATTTTTAATAAATCTTTGGAGCTGTTTCCTCTCATTTTGAGTTGCATTCCACCAGCAAATGAAGGTTCCAAACCGTGGGCTTCCTCCATATCACTGAGATTGATTCTACTTTGAGTAGGCAGTTCTTCACTAATCCTATTTTGACTGCCTTGCAAACGGAAGGGTTCGACTTCTACCACTATATCCAACAATATTTCACTATTATGGATAAGTTTTTCATTAACTAATTGTTCAGAAGTTGACTGTCTTTTCCTTCTTCACCATTTATTCTTATTCTGGAAGCTTTGTTGAAAATTGTGCATGAAGGTTGAGCTAGCTGATATTTGAGAAACCATTGGGAGAGCCTCCAGTATCACAGCAGTATGACACACGACAGAAGAGTGAGGTGCGTCATGATGGTTTTTCCTCCCTACGTTTGCACACATGTAAAGTCAAATAAAAATAAATGGCGAGGTCAACTCGAAGAAAGAAAGAAAATCAGGAAGTTATGTAGAAAGAGGATAGAATGTCAGTTCCACACAGTTTTCCTGAATCAGGAGGATTAATGTTGACAAGCAAAAGAGCTTCCGTTATTCCCTTCCTCTGATCTGTGATCACCTGGCAAGAGGGTCTATCACCCTCTAAGATGTGTCCTTTTCTCTCATTTATTTCACTGAACTGTTATTCAAAAGCTATCTGTTAAAAACACACATCTATACTTTGCACTTAAGATGCTAAGAATATTAGCATAGAAATTATTTGCAAAATGGACTGACAAAAATTAGGAGATAAATGTTATAGCTTTATTTTAGATGAACAGATGGAGTGGAGACCCAGTGCCTATTTGTAAGGTAGAATTGAGGCCATGATAGTTGGGGGAAGGAAGCACCAAAGAACTAGAGGAAAGTTGTGTGTTTCATCGGTGCTATACTGCTCCCGGAATGACATCTCTACCTAATGTGAATGGGGGGCAGGGGGCATGGAGGGCAGACCCAATGCCCATCTGTAGACAATTGGACATCCCCTCACAGAGGGGTCACAGGGAAGCGATGGCCAGTCAGGGTGCAGTATAGCACCGATGAAACACACAACTTTCCTCTAGTTCTTTGGTGCTTCCTTCACCCCACTATCATGACCTCAATTCTACCTTACAAATCGGATTCCACCAGAGCATGCACACTGCTACAGAGAAGAGCCTGCAACACAGGGAATCCAGGATAAATTACCTCCCCCCACCCCCTGCCAGGGCAAACAATGAGAGTAGAGATACCAGGAGGATTAGGGGAGAAG